ACAGAAATCAGAGAAGAAAAAGACATAAAAGGAATCCAAATCAGAAAAGAAGTAAAGTGTCACTGTTTGCTGATGACATGATACTATACATAATGATGCTACCAGAAAACTACTAGAGCTAATCAATGAATTTGGTAAAGTAGCAGGATACAAAATTATGCACAGAAATCTGTTGCATTCCTATACACTAATGATGAAAAATCTGAAAGAGAAATTAAGGAAACACTCCCATTTACCATTGCAACAAAAAGAATAAAATACCTAGGAATAAACCTAAGAAGACAAAAGGCCTTTTTGCAGAAAACTACAAGACAGTGATGAAAGAAATTAAAGATGATACAAACAGATGGAGAGATATACCATGTTCTTGAACTGGAAGAATCAACATTGTAAAAATGACTATACTACCCAAAGCAATCTACAGATTCAATGCAACCTCTATCAAACTACCAATGGCATTTTTCACAGAACTAGAACAAAAATTTCACAATTTGTATGGAAACACAAAAGACCCCGAATAGCCAAAGCAACCTTGAGAAAGAAAAACGGAGCTGGAAGAATCAGGCTCTCGGACATCATACTATACTACAAAGCTACAGTAATCAAGACAGTATGGTACTGGCACAAAAACAGAGATATAGATCAATGGAACAGGATAGAAAGCCCAGAGATAAACCCACACACATATGGTCACCCTATCTTTGATAAAGGAGGCAAGAATATACAACAGAGAAAAGACAGCCTCTTCAATAAGTGGTGCTGGGAAAACTGGACCGCTACATGTAAAAGAATGAAATTAGAACACTCCCTAACACCATGCACAAAAATAAACTCAAAATAGATTAAAGACCTAAATGTAAGACCAGACACTATCAAACTCTTAGAGAAAAACATAGGCAGAACACTCTATGACATAAATCACAGCAAGATCCTTTTTGACTCACCTCCTAGAGAAATGGAAATAAAAACAAAAATAAACAAATGGGACCTAATGAAACTTAAAAGATTTTGCACAGCAAAGGAAACCATAAACAAGATGAAAAGACAACCCTCAGAATGGGAAAAAAATATTTGCAAACAAAGGAACTGACAAAGGATTAATCTCCAAAATATACAAGCAGCTCATGCAGCTCAATATCAAAAAAACAAACAACCAATCTAAAAATGGGCAGAAGATCTAAATAGACATTTCTCCAAAGAAGATATACAGATCGCCAACAAACACATGAAAGGATGCTTAACATCACTAATCATTAGAGAAATGCAGATCAAAACTACAATGAGGTATCACCTCACACCAGTCAGAATGGCCATCATCAAAAACCCTACAAACAATAAAATGCTGGAGAGGGTGTGGAGAAAAGGGAAGCCTCTTGCACTGTTGGTGGGAATGTAAATTGATACAGCCACTATGGAGAACAGTATGGAGGTTCCTTAAAAAACTAAAAATAGAACTACTATATGACCCAGCAATCCCACTACTGGGCATATACCCTGAGAAAACCATAATCCAAAAAGAGTCATGTACCACAATGTTCACTGCAGTTCTATTTACCATAGCCAAGACATGGAAGCAATCTAAGTGTCCATCAACAGATGAATGGATAAAGAAGATGTGGCACATATATACGATGGAATATTACTCATCCATAAAAAGAAAGCAAATTGAGTTATTTGTAGTGAGGTGGATGGACCTAGAGACTGTCATACAGAGTGAAGTAAGTCAGAAAGAGAAAAACAAATACCGTATGCTAACATATGTATGGAATCTTAAAAAAAAAAAAGTTTCTGAAGAACCTAGGGGGAGGACAGGAATAAAAAGGCAGATGTAGGTAATGGACCTGAGGATATGGGGGGGGCGGGGAGGGTAAGCTGGGACGAAGTGAGCGAGTGGCACGGACATATATACACTACCAAAGGTAAGGTAGATAGCTAGTGGGAAGCAGTCACATAGCACAGGGAGATCAGCTTGGTGCTTTGTGTCCAGCTAGACGGGTGGGATAAGGAGGGTGGGAGGGAGATGCAAGAGGGAGGGGATATGGGAATATATGTATACGTATAGCTGATTCACTTTGTTATACAGCAGAAACTAACACACCATTGTAAAGCAATTATACTCCAATAAAGAGGTTTAAAAAAATACACAACAACAAAATCTCAACAGCCACAAGAATTCCTCTCTGCAGGGCATGTACTAGTTATTTTATACACAGTCTAGATCAGGGACTTCAACCGTAGATGACCACTGGGGGGCCATGCTCTTCTGAAAAGCAGGCGAGAGGGCATGGTGGAGACTCGAGGCCCCAGACCTCCTCAGCTTCCGGCAGTGGTGGGGATCCAGTGACCTGTGCTAATGAGCTTCCAATTTCTCAAGGGCAGCCATAAACATATTAATAGTACAAAAGCAAACACTGTGAGGACAGAATGAAACATGCTGGAGGTTCAGATTTAGTCCATGGCAGTTTGTGACCTTTGGTTTGCGCTGCAACTCCTCAGGGGCAGCGACCCTGGCCATCTGGTTCACTGATGTGTACCTTGTAGCTCTCAGAATATACTGTTGAATTGAATTCTTACCAACAAACGTGTAGGACAGGTGTTGTTATGTCCATCTTACAGGAACACCACAGAGCTCACCAATGTCAGAGTTGGGATTTGAATCTTGGTCCTTGTGCTCCTAAGCCCTGTGCCTTCCAATAGAGCATCGTGGTGGCAAACCCCCATCCTGGGAACGGCTCTCAGGCTAAGGCAATGAATACAAGTCTTTGGTCCAACCACAGAAAAAATTGCAAAGAACTTAAACCTACTTTTCTGTTTTCTACTTTCTCACAAATCTGTGGCTTCTGGAGCCAGGGACCAGCAGAGGAGAGAGATGTACGGCGGAGTGAGAACACCCAAGAATGCTTGTCTGTGGGTCCTTCAAGCTCCCTCTTTCTGTCCATCCCTCCCTCCCTCCTTTCCTTTCCTGTGCCCCATAGTATGAACTTGGTCCCTAACTGTGATCACAGTGAGATGAATTTAGTACAGAGAAGTCATATGGACAGAATCATACACAGAACAGAGACATCGGAAACACGGCCAGTTTAATGCAACATTGTAAATCAACTACACTTTAATTTAAAATAAAAACAATTTTAAATTAAGAGGTAAGCCCTAGAGCAACTGAATTACATAAACCTCCACCAGGATAACCCTGGCTGAACTAGTAATCCACACTCCAAGATGTTAGCTCTGAGAAGTGACTCAATTGAAGGAAGAAAATATTTTAGAGCCAATAAAACCTTCATTATGAAGATTAAGTAACAACATAAAAAAATAACTATGGGACTTCCCTGGTGGCGCAGTGGTTAAGAATCTGCCTGCCAATGCAGGAGACACAGGTTTGAGCCCTGGTCTGGGAAGATCCCACATGCCGCAGAGCAACTAAGCCCGTGAGCCACAACTACTGAGCCTGCGTGCTGCAACTACTGAAGCCCACGTGCTTAGAGCTCATGCTCCACAACAAGAGATGCCACCGCAACGAGAAGCCCGTGCACCGCAATGAAGAGTAGCCCCTGATCGCCACAACTAGAGAAGTCCCGTGCACAGCAATGAAGACCCAACGCAGCCAAAAACAAATTTAAAAAAAGATTGTTTTAAAAACTAAAAAATTTTAGAAATGACTATAAAAAGTTGAATTAAAGAAGCAGACAATAAAATGCAGCCTACTTAATATTGATAATTACAATTATGTTTATTCAACATACGCATATTAAGGACCTAACTTCTCGTTGAGTTGACAAGGTTGGTGCAGGAAGAGCTTAACCATCACCCTCACTTAAGGCTCTCAGACTGGAAGCTTACTTTCATGAGATTTCCTGGGGAAAATGGAAAAGAGTGCACAGGGGCTGATGGTTGGGCTCCTGGCCACCCCAGGATTAAGCCCCTGTAATAAGGGCTGTCTCCAGCCTCCAGGGGAGGGCCCCCGGGGGCAGTGATTTTATTCTGAGGGACCGCTCTGCCTCAGCCCGAGTCACTTGGAATGGTCCCTTGGAATGGTCAGCAAATAGAAGTCACCGCAAGATCTCATGCATCCTCTGGCACGAAATATAACATAAACTCTGACGAAGCCAATATCTACAGATCCACCCGATCTCTCATCTGGATCCCTCACTTGAATATCATCCCACAGCCTACTTGAGGCCTCCGCCTGCTTGTCTAATCGGCACCCCAAACTTAAAATGTGCCCAACAGCACTGCTTCCTTTCCTGCCCCCCAGGCCTGCTCCTCACATTGTCTGCCCATCTTGGCCCCATCCTTTATTTCTCTGCTTTTCATATCCCACATCCAGCCTCACAGCCAGTCTGTTGGCTCTATGGTCAAATATATACCCAGAATCTGACCACTTCCTGTCACACTCAACAGTAATAGGTACACCTGTCCACCATCATATTTCACCAGGATTACTGCAGCAATAGCCCAGCTAAATCTCCCTACTTCTTCCCTTGTCTCCGCTGGCTGCTCCATGTCATCCAGAGTACAAGCTCGAAGCCAACCCACCTACAATGCTCCATGCTCTCCAACCCCTCCTAATCTCCAGCCATTTGACTTCAGGTCTGCTCTTTCCCTCACTCTCCACGCAAGCCACACCAGATGGTGATGGTCTTTATTGCCATCGGCCATACTCTATATTCACCCGTCTATCTGTTATATGGTGTATGTCCTCCCAACAGAGTAGAGGCCCCCAGAGGGCAGAGATAGTGTTCTGGTCCCTGCTGTATCCCCAGCACCTGGAATAGTACCTGGAACATAGTAGGTACTCAATAAATATTAGTTGACTGAACAAATGAATGAATGATGAATGAATGAATGAAAGGATAGAGGTGATTTTTTGTCATGAATATACTTATAGATTCAAAACATACAATATATATATCACTATAAATTGGAGAAAGGTACAAGTGAATTCTATCTCTACCAGTCTCTTTTAACTAGAAAGATTGATACTGGAGAGAGTTACTCACTGGTGGCCCTGGAGATCCTCTGGCACCAGGAAGGCCTGGGTAACCTTTTTCTCCAAGTCGCCCAGGGAGTCCCAAGTCTCCTTTACTCCCTTGCCTCCCAGGAAGTCCTGGAGGGCCGGGTGGGCCTGAGGGACCAGGCTGGCAGGCACAGAGCCCTGTGCTTCCTAGACAGAGGATAAAAGGCAGCTTTGTCAAATTTCCTGAATGAAATCCCAATAAAGTCTTTACTATACAAAACCAATAGTGCGAATAAGAACAAAAAGGGTCTGATGTGCACAATTCTTATCACAGAAAACTGATAACATGTGATGTGGAGAGCACAGGGCATGACCTGGGGGTAGCTATGGTCTATGTGGGTGAACATATCATTTCCAGACAAATGGGGTGTTCTGTCTTAATAAACGCAAACTGACAAAATCTAGGGGGAAAGCCGATGTCTGATTCTATGGAAGAAACTTTGAAAATAAGAAAGTTTCTTATTTTTAAAAGTTTAGAAGTCTCTCATTTGGTTCCTACTAAAAACAACAAAGTCTCTTAATTTGGTTCCTGCTGAAACAACAACAACAACAAAATTGGTTAGACCATAAACTCTGGGCATTTAAAGAACCCAAATAATATGTTAAGAGGGATTATTGATTGTATTGCATGTTACAGCTAATAACTCCCTACAGTGCATTTTCTAATCATCAGGACCTTTAGTTTAAAAAAATGCCTTTTGGATAGTCAAACTCCTCAGCTCTCATACCTACCTGACTTAGTTGGTCAAAAAGGCACCAAACAATTTAGGGTGTAGAAACATAGAGCTATAGGTATTTGATGAGTCTGGGAAAGATGGGACCCACAGAGAGAAACCAAAATTAAAGATCAATATTGTCTTATCTCTGCTTTTTTCAAGTAATTGAGAGGATCCTGTGGAAAAAGTCATCACTTTGAGGCAAATTTCATGGCAGGTAAGTGTCTCCTTTATGCTGTAAGATATAGATTTGACTTTTCGGTAAGTTCTAATCACATCACAAGCACACAGTGAGTTAAGTACTCACAGGGGTAACTAAGGTGAGTGAAGAATCCAAATGAAATCCACATTGTACATTTCATAATGCCTCCCAATCCTCCATATGTTGTTTTCTAGAAATTCTACTTTGATGCATACTTGCCTTTTTCTCCTTTTGAGCCTCTTCTTCCTGGAGGACCCACTTTGCCTTTTATTCCTTGTGGTCCAGGAGGCCCAGCACTACAATATACAACTTTCCAGTGGGAAAGGGGGTGGGCAGAGAGAATCACAATTTTTGTGAACATCTGATATAGAACATCTGATATAGATCTGATATAGAACAAGTAGAGCTTGGTGTGTTCATATTCACATCATCCCCTCAACACCATTCTTTCTTCCATTCCTTTCTTATGATTCTTTCTCTCTGCTATAAGAATATGTATACAAATAGACCATACAATTGTCACAGCAAGCTTCTGCTACCATAACCATTGATAACACTGTTCCTAATCTCAGCCCTAATTTAATGGGTTGCAGAGCAAAGTAGTGGATAATAAAACAAACAAATATACCAAAACAAAACAAATAAACAAAAAACTAAAAGTATATGGCAAATAAATTTTGCCCCTTAGTTATCAATAATTACCTAATAAAGAAAGCATAAAGCAGGGTTTGTAAAAGCAAAAATTCAGAGACATCTGATTAAAAATGTTAGATAAAATGCAAACAATAAGTTCCTTGTCTCCCCAAATACCAGTAAGATAACAGACAGTAAAAGAATATTATAAAAAGGTATAATCTTTCAAGACAAAGAAAAAGAGAAACAAAAGCAAAAAAAAAAAAGTAAAAAGATTTAGCAGACCTTAAAAAGCTGAATTCCAAGCAGGCTGTGGGGAAAGCAGAAACAGAACACAGTTTACCTAGGAAATCTCTTCCAAAGTTCAAGAATTGGTACCTCTGAAGTAGAATGACAGTGAGACCCCAAACAGGATGATTGGTCAAAGAAGCAGCTAAATAGTAAGAACACCTTCTCAAAAACTGCAGCAGGAAAAAACAAACGCCCTCAAAACTGGAGGAAACAGACAATGAAGTAAGAAGAAATCTTTAAAATAAACTATATAGTTTAGAAAGCAGACAAAGGAAGGCATTTCATTCCCCAAACAGAAACAGGATGCTGCAAAAAGAAACATTAAAAGGGAACAACAACAAAAAATGAGAGAGAGAGAGAGAGAGAAAAAGCAACAGCAACAATAAAATCCTCAGAAATTTTAAAAAAAATGGTTATGAAAGCAGAAATTTAAAAATTCAGGAGCAGACTTGGAAGATGGAGTTGAGGAAGTCTACCAGAAAGTGTTACAGAAAAATAAAAAGGTGAAGAATAATAGAGTGAAGATTTGAAAAACAGACATGTAGGATTGATTCTCTAACAGACAAATATATTGAGTCCAGAAACAGAAAACAGAGGGAAAAAAAGGAGGACAAAGTATCTCCAAAGAAATACTTCAAGGGCTTCCTTGGTGGCTCAGTGGTTAAGAATCCGCCTGCCAATGCAGGGGACACAGGTTCAAGTCCTGGCCTGGGAAGATCCCACATGCTGTGGAGCAACTAAGCCTGTGAACCACAACTACTGAGCCTGAGCTCTAGAGCCCGTGAGCCACAACTACTGAGCCCGCAAGCCACAACTACTGAACCCGTGTGCCACAACTACTGAAGCCCACGTGCCTAGAGCCCATGATCCAAAACAAGAGAAGCCACCTCAATGAGAAGCCCACGCACTGCAATGAAGAGTAGCCCCTGCTCGCTGCAACTAGAGAAAGTCCGCATGCAGCAATGAAGACCCAACGCAGCCAAAAATAAATAAATAAAATAAATACATTAAAAAAGAAATACTTCAAGAAATTTTTCCAGAAATGAAGGATTTGTGTTAAATTGCTCCTAGTGCCTGCAAATGTACCCACACTGAGGTAAATCACAGTGAAATTTAAGGACATTGGAAACAAAGGAGAATTCCTATAAACTTTCAATAAGAAAAGGGATTTTAAACAAAGAATCAAGTATCTAAAGGTTACTGGACTTCTCAGTAACAACACTAAAGAGCAATGGAAAATGCCTTCAAAAACCTGGAGGAAAAATTATTCCAATCTAGAATTTTATATTCAACCAAACTATCAATAAAATTCCACAGTAGAATAAAGGTATTTCAAACAGTGGAGACACCCCAAATATACACATTTTCTCACAAAGTATAATGAGTAAACCATTAGAAGAAATATATGAGTTGTGGAAACAAAGGGACCCAGAGAGACAGAGAGTCAGAGAGACAGAGACAGACAGAGAGATAGAGACAGAGAATTCCTAGGATAATGGTGAAGGAAGATCTCCAGGCAGTGTCGCAGCATCAGCTTTTAAAATTCCAACCTGACCTAATTTAAACAGGTCAAAAAGTTCCAGATGAGATTTATTCAAAGAGATAATACTAGTAATGAGTTAAAATGTATGATTAAGAGACGTATACAATTCCGGATGGTTTGAGGTTGAATTAGCAATAAGTATATTGAAAACCAAGCAAACACACAAAGTTATGACAATTATTACCAAACGGTTATGCTAGGAAAGTAGTATCATATATTATTATATGGCTAAACTGGTGAATAGCATTTATATAACCTTCCATGTAAACACTGCATATTTATTTAACTAAAATTATGACGCTAACTATATTGATAGGTTGTAGGAGTGGAAAATGGCACATGTGTGGTGAGTGGGGAAAGAGGTGAATTCACCCGCTACAAAGGAAAGTCAATAGATAATGCGCAAACTGAAAAATTAAGAAATAGCAACACAAGTATGTTGAATGGCAATATAGAGGCAAATCCCAGGAGATCCAGCTAATTGTGGGGAAAATATTGCCCCTGGGGAGGAGAGAATAGGAGAAGGGGTTGCCTGGGATGGCAGTTTTTTCACAAAAGGCTTTGTAGAGCTGTTTGACTCAAGCCAGGTCCATACATAACTCTATAAAAATGACAGCTACATTTAAAAAATAAAAATTGTGTTAATTTACAACATTCTATCAGCATACTTAAATTCCCATCCAAATATTTTCACATAATTTAAGAGATGTGGCAGTCCAACATCAGTTTACTTTTTTGTATTTTTAATACAACTAACTTGGCTTATGAAATATTACATAACGTTTTTAAAATATGGAAAGTCACGGTTTCTGAATGATACTGCAAATATCAAATGCAACAATAAATGCTAGTGAATGTGAATGAAGAGCACTTTACCATCTGATCCTGGAGGTCCCGGCAACCCTGGCACTCCAGGCAACCCAGGTGGTCCCTGGTTGCCTGGTTTCCCTGGAGCAGAATCAGCTCTCCCAGGAATACCAGCTGCCCCTGGAAATCCTGGATGACCAGGAAACCCTCGTGGCCCAGGGGGTCCCATCATGCCTCCAAGAGAAATCAAGAATGAAAACCACACATACTCTCAGATTACATTTTTCTGTAGAAGAAATGAAAATCAGTACATTCTTCTTAGGCTGTGGAATTTTTTTAAGGAAAAAAAATGTAGCTAAAAAATAACTGAGTATCCCAGCCATCAGAATGCCTCACCTCCTTTGAAACAAGCACACAAGTGGTAATAAAGGTTTAGGGAATCAGATTTTCTTACCTTTTTGTCTATTCTTTAGGATTATTGGAAAAGAAATATATATTATTTAATTAAAATTAGTTTTAAAATACCAAAAAACTTTGATAACTTGATAAAAAAATAACCTGAATAAACACATTAGCACATATAGTGAATTAAAATATGGACTCACAGAAAGACAAATACTGTATGATATCACTTACATGTGGAATTTTAAAGATACAACAACTAGTGAAAATAACAAAAAAGAAGCACATTCACAGATATAGAGAACAAACAAGTGGTTACTAGTGGGGAGAAGGGGGAGGGGCAAAATAAGGGTAGGAGATTAAGAGGTACAAACTATTACATATGAAATAAGCTATAAGGACATACAGTAAAACAAGCGGAGTATAGCCAATATTTTATAATAACTATAAATGGAGCATAACCTTTAAAAATTGTGACTCACTATATTGTACATCTGTAACACATAATACTGTACATCAACTAAAGTTCAATAAAAAATTTTAAAAATTAGAAGAAACTAAACAAGGTAATACATTAAATCATGTAGATAGGTACCTGGTATATAATTTTAAGCTGTTTGTTTTTATAATTATCAATGACTAGTAGAATTTAATGAGAAAACTGGTGTTGCCATTTAGATACTAAAATGTAATATTTGGATATGATTGAGATATGCTTACATGGAGACAGTCTTCTAATCTTTTACCCCAAAATTAATTAGCACAGCCAAAAAAAAAAATGGGACTCACAAAATTATCATCTATGTAGATGTAAAATACTATAACCACTTAGGTTTGTGGAAAAGCAAAGAGGTGCTAGATTTGAACCTGGCCTCTCCCTCTCCAGCCACAGGTACTTAAGTAGGTTATTTAACTTATTTAATCCTCTATATCTTCCTCAGAGGCTTGTAATGAAGATTAAATAAAATAATCCACATAAGGAGCTTACTGCAATATCTGGCATGTTCTCAGTGAACGACTGGATGCTCAGTGTGTTTAGAGCAGGTCAAAGTAATGCAGCAGCAGCTAAATCCTGCTTCCCCTTGACACGCTACTTCCCCCTCGCTGGTGGCTTTGGCTTAAAGACAGCTGGGAGCCTTGGTGTGAGAGTGATCATTGCTCTGAGCTGCTTCTTCCTAAGCATGCCTGGTTCCAGGACCTCTCTGTGGAAGACAGACATTATCGAAGATGGCACCATGGTAGCTCTAGTCCCTCACGCTCTTGTAGAACCTTGACGCTCCCCTAGCAAGAGGTGGAATGTTCCCCGTCCCTTCAATGTACCAGCCTTTTGTGATTGTTTGGACTAATGAAGTATGGCAGGAGTGACATGATATGGTTTCCAAGGCCAGATTATTAAAGAAGATTCAGCTTCTTCCTTGTGAGCAAAATGCTTGGACTGGAGTCCTGAGGCACCACAGAAGCAATATCACTGCTCGGAAGCCACCATGCTGTAAGGAAGCCTAAATTAAGTACAGAGTCACACAGAGAGACTTGAGACTATATGAGAAATGAAGGAGAGAGATGCCTGGCCATTCCTCATGTTTCAGTTCCAGACACGATGGCTGCAACCAGATGAAAATCCCTGCTCCATAATCGCTCAGCTTAGCCCTTCCTGAATTCTTGAACCACAGAAAGAGTGAAGGGGAATATACTGAATGTTGTTGTCTTAAACCACTAGGTTTTGGGTTATCTGTTCAGCAACAGACAATTGAAACCCTGTCCGTCATAAGTAATGTAGCATGCAAGTTAAGTTGATGGCTTTCGTTATTGGGTGCATACGTGCTGGGGCTTTACGTGTATTTTCAAACATTATCTTTACTCCTTCAACAACCTTGAAAAGTTCGTACCTTATAGATAAGGCACAGAAAATTTAGGCCAAATATGAATACTAATAATCGTAGCTAACACAGTGAGTCTTTACTATATCCCCAGTTGTATTCTAAGAACTGTATACATATTATTTCTTTCAACTGTAACAAGAACTCCGTTTTGCAGACAGGAAAACTCAGGCACAGAGAAGTTTAATAAATGCCCAAGATCACACAGTTTGTAAGTACTAGAACCTGGAATGTTTTTAGTCCATTGTGTAAACGCATAACTATTTCACTATACTATACTGATTGGGAAGGTTGGGATTCAATCACAGGTGTCTGACTCCAAAACCCAACTCATCTCATGGTAAATACTATAGATGACTATAAAATAAAATATGTATAATAAAGGCTACATACAATGGTATGTTTAAAACAAAATGAACATGTACTCCTGTGGACTTGGCTACCATCTTGTCTTCATAACAGTCCTAAGACCTGACTCGGAATCTCCACAATCAGTCACTGGATGGTCCCAGATGCTGCCTGCTATCTCGTCCCAGTACCAGGGAGAATGCTCAACCAGCTTCGAAAAGGCAGAATGGGTTACAGTGTGTGGCATATCGCAGCCTCGACCACCAACTGATAGGACATGAAATCAATTCAGTTGTGGCCAGCATTAAAAACTTTTTTTTTTTCAAAAGAAAAGAATGGAATAGAAAATAGAGTGCATCAGATACCCCAGAGATATTATTTTGTGAAATCTGTGTTTCAACCATATGTATGTATGTATGCATATATGTGTGTAATGTAATGTAAATGCTATACAATATAAAATTATTTCTTACTATAGGTTGGAGTCAAAATATGGACTCTTTTAAAAAAGATTTTTGGAATTAAGAAGCTTCCTGTTATACTTGGTTTGGAATCTGCTAGAGACAGGTGTTACTTACTCCCACTGGGTTTTGATTTCAATCCGCTGGAGGTGGTATTTTATTATAAACAAGCCCGAAAGGAGAAATGTAAGAGCGGAGTCTAGTGCCTCCCGACCAACAGAGTATTCTGTATGATTTATATAGTTCTGGGTCAATTAAGCCATGGCTGCGATACCGAAAGAGTAAATGAACTAAACAACAAAGCTTTATTTACTGCCTTTGTGGTCATCAGATCCTACAAAGTGAAAGCTAGCTTCGTGAAACATTAAACAAGAACTTTGTAGTTCACAGTTGAATATCTCAGGAAACTTCTAACTCCTCAGGAAATATAACATGAAACAGACCGGATAAAATTACATTTATACCAGACTTTTCTCCCCACACGTTTAATCAGTCTTCCTGGGTTCACAGAATGCAAATATTCCCTAAACTTCCATTCTTAATCTCACTGGGAATATTAAGCTAAGACAGCACTTGAAGGAGTTCAAAGTCCGTGTGTCAACAGGATTACTTCTCAGGCCTTTCATCAAATACTACCATGAGCCATAGGGATTTTTTTGTGGGCGAGAGGGCTGTTGTTTTTTGTTTATTTTTTAACTAAGTCCGAATCAAAATTTTATTTTTTAATTTGCAATTTTGTATTTCCACATTTCATGCAGAAGATTTAAGTTGGGGCCTAGGTGAATGAACTAAATTTTAACAAGTAGATGTCCATAGAGAGAGCCTTCCAAGAAAGTGGGAAAGACCTAAAGACACACTCTAACCCTAGCAGCAGTTTCCACACCTTAACTGCATCTGGTAATCTTGTGGGAAGCTTGTTTTACATACATATTTCTTATCACACCCCTGAGATAGTGATTGAATATTTCTGAGGTGCAGTCCAGGAGCCTGGATTTCTTCCAATTAAATGATTAATTGGTTTGAGCTCTGTGCTTCTTAATCCTGGCTGTGCATTAGAATTAAGCAGGGGTTGGGGGCGGGTGGTGGGTACTTCCCTGGCAGTCCAGTAGTTAAGACTCCGTGCTTCCAATGCAGGGGGCATGGGTTCGATCCCTGGTCAGGGAAATAAGATCCCACATGCTGCGCAGTGCGGCCAAAAATAAAAAAGTATGGGGACACTTTTATAATAGTAGATGCCTTGGTCCATCCATCCCTCAGAGAGTCCAACATTCCTGATCTGGGGTACGCACAGCCATCAGTATTTTTGAAACAATGCTAAGGTGATTTTAATATCAGCTAGAGTGGAGAGGCCCTGGTGTGGAAGAGGATGCAGCAAACCTGGCATGTAAAAGCCATACCTGCACAGACTTCCCCTGGTCTACCAGGGGGACCAGGGGGACCAGGTGGTCCAACAGCCCCCGTTTCTCCATAGCGGCCAGGGTGCCCTGGATCCCCTGGAGGCCCTGCCAAAAATAATGGCATAATGTATATAGTAAACATATATATACATTTAAAGGCTCACGCACAATCACTTTTTGTGAGCCTTGTTAAAGTACAACAGGAGATTGTTTTGCAGTTTCTCATCACGTTTAAAGTGCAATATCTTAGACCCTCCGCTGCAGACACATGAAGTAGTGTGGAATTTGTCATCGATCTAGGCTGCTTTCTTCCTGGAGGCAGCATCTTGGCAGGTCTTAGTCAAATGGTTTCACACATTTCTAGCGATTAAAAAACCTACTTTCTGAAAGGTAACATAATAAAAATTCCAGCATGCAGTTCACCCACTAAAATAAAATTTGGTGTCTTATGGCTGATAGAGACAAACCAAGATGCACATCTCTACTTGCACTAGTATAATTATACATTCATGGTAAAAGCTCATATATGTAGCCTGCCGAGTGTGTAAACTACAGAAGGACTAGGCCAAACCCTCCTTTTGGGACTATGCAAATCCCATTTCAGCATAATTTATAGAGAAAAAAATGGAACACAAACCTTTGAGTGGAAGAGCTGGAGTTGCCAAAAACCCTGGTGGTCCTGGGTGCCCGCGGTCTCCAGGATCTCCCTGAAATCATTCATCCATTCACTTTTCTTAGAAATATTAATCTTTTTCTCATGTTTCCTGGCACTAAGTAAATATTAGCATCACCAAGTGGGCATTCATATAGGAAACAAAGCCTATAGGCTGACTAGAGAAATAAATAGCTCATGGTGGTCTAAGAGGAACAAAAGTATGAGACCTCCCACCTACAAGCAGAAGTTAACAGCCAACTGGGAAAGTTCTCCCAAAAGAAAAAAAATTCAAACTCCAAAAATGCTTCCATGTGCATCAACTAGATACCTCTGAAGCCATGAAGTTTCTCAGATCTATTATGAGCATTAATGTCTAACTTGCACTCCAGAACAAATAGCTTATTTGCCTATAGGGTCTGAACCTACATTTTATTCTAGCAGCAGATACTGTCCCCCTTAATTGTGTCACCTTAATGCCACCATGGCTTGTCCTGCACAAGTGCTGAAGGTGAGGTCACATAAAAAGGAAAGAAAAAATGCAGTGGTGTTCAAAGCAAAGAACTCTCCACGGTTCCCTATGTTTTTAATCATGATGCTGTATAATCCCTAGGGAATTTTTGAATCTCTCATTATTATTCACCTTCAAAAGGATCATTGCTCAAATGTAAAATGTAATCATTACCACATGCATTAAAATAATATAAGCAAAATGAACTCAATTTTGAATGATTCTTTGAAATATTAAAAAAAATAAATTAGATAACGTAAGGGATATAGGATGTTATCAGACTGTACTCAAATAGGCTCACTTTTTTACCTTTGGACCAAGATATCCAAACGGCCCAGGATCTCCAAACACTCCTGGTTCCCCCTACAAATAACCAAAAACATGCCTTTTTTTAATTTTTATTTTTTAAGCATATATATTTATTTTTATGCGCATATTTACCTACAAAATTTACAGGAAATAAAACAATGCATAATATATACAGTGTTGTTTTCATGAGGATCAAACAATGAAGGTAATTGCAGAACATCAGGGATGAAACACGCCTTTTTTAAAAAATGTGATTGGGTAACAAATTATCTCATTCTCATTTAATCTGAATGACACATGCTCACTGAGATTCTGTACAGAATCTTAACACTGCTTTGGGGTTGCATCTGACAGTTTTATGCTTTAGTTTTTGTACCCACAGTGAAATCATGTAACTTATAAAATAAATGTGTCTCATTACTGTGTGTGAGTCTACAGGCCCTGGTACAACTTTTGAATGATACTGAATTGCATTTACTAATGAATATGTATTTATCCTCTCTATAATCGTGTTCATTTACCTTTAATCCTGGAAAACCTGGAGATCCATAGAAGCCAGGGTCCCCCTAATAAATTCACAAAAATCAACACAAGCAGAATTAAAACAAAATACATAAACCAGTTCAGTGAATCATTTTTCACCTTATGAGATTGATTCGTTGGTATTTAATCTTGTCTGCAAAGGTAGCTGAATAAAGGAAATAAATATAAAAGAGATTCCATTTCTTTATAACATTTGTTATTGTAATTGATCTTTAATCTTATTCAAAAAATTAATATCCTTGACAGTGCTTTAAATTAAGAACACAGTTTTGTTGTTTTTGCTGTTCTTCCATTTCAGTTTATTTAATTTAATGCTTGCACTGAGCTAAATATCTTTGAATCATCGCAATATAATTTCTCTAGAGATTAATAGTTGCTCTATGCATTATCAGCAATGAAAATTACTACAGAAGTCAATATTGTCTCGTTAAGTACTAAATCTGAGTCAGATAAACTCAATGCCCATGCTCGCCAAGGTCTAGCCTTCATACTGACTCTATGAATGGGGATCCCATTAGTGACGTGTGTGGAGATGTTTGAGGCCTGATGCTATAGTTGTTTTCTAGCTACTGCCCCTAGATCAGTACCTTCTTTTATCAAATAGGCTTAAATGAACAATTCCAAGCTACTATCACACTGACACTGAGCCAGTAAGAAAATGCCACGATCCCATTACTTCCTGCCAATTCTCCCATCTTCTGCTTGCCTGTTTTATCCAAATAATGTCCATGAAAGGGCTGCTCTGGGGCACTTAGCTATCACACAATTCTTGCTGACCAAAATATAGCATTCTTCTTAGAGATAATCTCCACTTTTGAACTCTCAGAAATATTGATCTAGTCTTATAAAAATGGGAGAGAGAAATGCCTCCAAACTCACTGAAGTTAAGGACGCCAAGAATGATCCTTACCCGAGGTCCTGGAAATCCAGGAATACCTTTCTCTCCTTTTGTCCCAATACCGGGTTCCCCCTTAAAGAGATGACACTTTTAGAGGAGTTCAAGCAACAGTATTTCAGCAATACGAATGCAAAAACAAAACAAGAAATAAAAATTATTGCCAGCAGCTTAAAGAAATAGTCTTTGGACTTTGGAAGACTTAGTCTTAGACTTTGGAAATAGTCTTCCTACAGAATTATGATGAAATACTGAAAAGTTCTAGTAACATATCGGCATTTAAAGCAGTGATAATAACCATGTAAAATTTTTTAAATTAAGATAGCACATCATACAGTTTTTTAAGTTCTTTAAATAAATTACCTTGGGGCCTGGTGGTCCGGGAGGTCCAATGATTCCAGGCGTTCCTTTAATACCCTAAAAATCACAATGAATATAATCTGGCTTACCGGCTTTATTCAACATACTGAGTTCCATCTCTTTAAGAAATTACCTCTTTCAACAGCCATTCTCCTAATTTTTTAATAAAGGATTACTCGTCAACTGTCGGTAATTAGCAACTAAGATCCAAGCACACCTTTGAACCTGACACTCTTCAGGAGGCCAGTTCTGTGTAAAAGGTGTAGCATTGTGCGTTGTGGGACAGCAGAGCAGTGGGGGGAGTCACCATGGAACCAGGGCAGCAGATGCAAGCTGGGAATGCAGCCACTGAGAGGAGAGGCTCATTTTGAGCAAGGTAGTGAAACTGAATCCAGTAATTGAAAACTGACAAGAATGTGCACATGGCATCAGTAACATCAGTGCTGGAGGGTGACAATGGAATTAATATTTGCCAAGAGTCTACTACATGCTCGGTTCTATGCCTCTGTCACCTTTCAATTACCAAAGCATCAGATCCATATGTAACATCTAAAGGACAGCTGGATTTCCAGTGGTATTTTCAGCGACCATATCAAAGACATGAATGGGGGACTACATCCTGGAGGACATGTCACAGTTTAGCAGCCCAAGCTAGGTCTGCCACTCAACAGCTGGGTAAACTTGAGAACACTGGTAACCTTTCCAAGTCTCACTTTTTCAACTCTTTATAATGGAGCTAATAATAGTACCAACCTGTAAAGGTTACCCTGGGATCAAGGCAGCGTTGCACGTAGCTGCTCAGCTCTTCGCTGGCACGGGAACATGTTCAGAAAATGTTGGCTATGACTACTTTACCAAGGTCACATATGGATTGAGAATTACCTTTTCTCCTTTATAGAGACCAGAATCAGGTGGCTGCACCAGAAGGGTGGGTCCTGGAGAACCCTGTTGGCCAACCTCACCCTTTAAAAAAAATCAAGATAATAAGAATTTCATATTAACTTTATTTTGAAATAAAAATTGAAATTAGGAAGACTTTCACCCACATATTGTGGTATAATGCTTACAAGCCTGTATGTCATGGATTTAAAATAAAAATCATGGCAAATACATAATGTAATTTTAAATGTTTATTGTTTTTCATAAATAATACATACTTACTGTTAAAAATGAATTTAAAAAATAAAGGTGATCCATAATCCTACCATCCAGAGGTAATCTCTATTAAAACTTTGGTACAGTTCTTTGTGGTGTGTGTGTGTTTGTATGTATGTGTGGGTATATAACTGTGTGTACACACATGTATACATATACATATGTCTACATATACACATATGTGCATAATATGCATGTGTGCATACATGTATATGTGACTAAATGGTGCGTTAAACATAATTTGAAACTCTGATAGAAGACTCTTATTCAAAAAGACACATACACCCCAATGTTCATTGCAGCACTATTTACAACAGCCAAGTCACGGAAGCAACCTAAAGGCCCATCAACAGATGAATGGATAAAGAAGATGTGGTACATATATACAATGGAATATTACTCAGCCATAAAAAGAAATGATATTGGGTCATTTGTAGAGATGTGGATGGACCTAGAGACTGTCATACAGAGTGAAGTAAGTCAGAAAGAGAAAAACAAATACCATACGTTAACGCATATATGTGGAATCTAGAAAAACGGTACAGATGAACCTGTTTGCAAGGCAGAAATAGAGACACAGATGTGGAGAACAAATGTATGGACACCAAGCGGGGAAAAGGGGGGTGGGATGAATTGGGAGTTTGGAATTGACATATATAAACTAATATGTATAAAATAGATAACTAATGAGAACCTGCTACATAGCACGGGGAATTCTACTCAATGCTCTGCGGTGACCTAAATGGGAAGGAAATCCAAAAAAGAGGTAATATATGTATACCTATAGCTGATTCACTTTGCTGTACAGCAGAAACTAACACAACATTGTAAAGCAACTATACCCCAATAAAAAATATATATATATTATAATGAAAGTAACACTATATAATAATAAACATAATTTAAATGAAGAATATAGTTTATATTTTAGTAAAATTTTAAATCATTTAATATATTTTACAACATTATTTTTTGCACATTTTCCTATCATATTGGGTGGGTCAAAAGGTTCGTTCATTTTTTTCCATAAGATGGCTCTGGTAGCACTTAGTTGTCTTTAACTTCATTCGAAACAATTTTGTTAGACCGTATGTGACAGGTGTCATATCAGCGTGCATTTAAAAAAAGACATCAAAATTGGTGAATTTTTGTGGAGCCATTTTAATATTGAAGATGGAAGAAAAAAAGCAACATTTTCTGCATACTATGCTTTAAAAGGTAAAAACGCGACTGAAACACACAAAAAGATTCGTGCAGTATATGGAGAAGGTGCTGTGCCTGATCGAACGTGTCAAAAGTGGTTTGCAAAGTTTCGTGCTGGAGATTTCTCACTGGATGGTGCTCCATGGTCGGGTAGACCAACTGAGGTTGATACGGTCAAATTGAAACAATAATTGAGAACAATCAATATTATACCACGCAGGAGATGGCCGACATACTCAAAATATCCACATCAAGCATGGAAAATCATTTGCACCAGCTTGGTTATGTGAATCGCTTTGATGTTTGGGTTCCACGTAAGCGAAAAAAACCTTCTTGACCATATTTCCACATGTTATTCTCTACTGAAACGTAATGAAATAGTTCTGTTTCTAAAACAAATTGTGACGGGCAATGAAAAGTGGATACTGTACAACAATGTGGAATGGAAGAGCTCGTGGGGCAAGCGAAATGAACCACCACCAACCACACCAAAGGATGGTCTTCATCCAAAGAAGGTGATGTTGTGTATATGGTGGGATTGGGAGGGAGTCCGCTATTATGAGCTCCTTCCGGAAAACCAAACAGTTAATTCCAACAAGTACTGCTCCCAATTAGACCAACTGAAAGTGGCACTCGACAAAAAGCGTCCAGAATTAGTCAACAGAAAATGCATAATCTTCCATCAGGATAATGTAAGACCGCATGTTTCTTTGATGACCAGGCAAAAACTCTTACAGCTTGGCTGGGAAGTTCTGATTCACCCGTCGTATTCACCAGGCATTGCACCTTTGGATTTCCATTTACTTCAGTCTTTACAAAATTCTCTTACTGGAAAAAATTTCAATTCCCTGGAAGACTGTAAAAGGCACCTGGAACAGTTCTTTGCTCAAAAAGATAAAATGTTTTGAGAAGACGGAATGATGAAGTTGCCTGAAAATGGCAGAAGGTAGTGGTACAAAAGGGTGAATACGTTGCTCAATAAAGTTCTTGGTGAAAATGAAAAATGTGTCTTTAATTTTACTTAAAACCGAAGGCACTTTTTGGCCAACCCAATAAGTACTAGAACCTGGAATTTCCCCACATCATGACGTCTTCCAGTATCTTTTTGGCAAGCGTGTTAAATGGCTGTACCATAAATTTCCCAACCACACTGGAACTCCATGAGAGCGGAGATCAGGTCTGTCTCGCCAAATCCCCACACCAAGCACCAATCCTAGCCTGGCACAGGGTAGATGCTCAATATCTATTTACCCACAGTTGTTGAAAGAGCCCCTCACCAACTCTTAAGCATTCAGATTGTTTCCAGATGAGCTTCCACCTTAAAGCACTTTTCTAAAGTTTATCCTTACTTAGTTTTGTGTTTCAGCAGAAAGGACTATGGGTGTGAGGGGTGGACGGTGTGTTGCTCAATGCTTTGGGTCACAGTTATTCATATTTTTATTTATGTGTGAAGTTTAGGACTCTGATGAAATTTGGCAAGTCAAGCTAAACAAATCCATAATTAAACAAATTGTTACCCCGGATATATTATCAGAAATATTCTGTGTCTTTGGGCTAGGGGGAAGTGTGCTATATAAATTAAATTGAATTTACTGTTAGGTTTTGTCAGAACTGTCATTTTATAGTCAAGGGTAATGGTGTCATAATAATTCAGCAAAGACAAATTCTCAGCCATAAAGCTGGACAGTGACGAGAGAACGAACACAAGTTAAGTGGTAATCAGAACCGTCTCCTCGACCCGGGTAGCCCATACATTTTAACATGTGCTCCTCCACGCAAAAGGGAGTTCTTACCGGGTCTCCCATTTGCCCCTTTACTCCCACGCCAGGATTACCCTGGAAAAGAAAAGAAAAAGGAAACTAATTGCTTTGGAATATTAAAAAGTAATTACAAGTCATAAGACTTCTGGTTAAGCAATTTGTTGAAGTGTATTTATTAAATAGTTCGGGAATTCTAAAAAGAGGGAAGACATGATTCTGACAAATATTAGTGGTCACTTATCTCACTGTACATGGACTTCATTTGTGTATCTTACTCATGGCTGCCTACCTTCAAACCTGGACTCCCAGGAGGGCCTGGAGGTCCCTAAATCAACAGCAAAAACACACAGATCAGTTATCAGTGATGGAGATCAGACTGTGCCCTTATTGGTTGTCCCAAGCTCCTCCTTAGGAAACGCTTAATTTTGAAACACACATGATGGACTTCCTACCACGGCTGGGCTGCTTGCCCCCCACCTCCACCCCCCTCCTGCCCCCCACCCCCCTCCTGCCCCCCACCTCCAGGGACCCGTGCTTCAGGAGGGACTCACGCTCATAATGGTGAGTGTTGGCTGATTCATCAGGTGATAATCTCGAAAAGAACCCATCTCTGCCTGAATTGCCCAAGACCGCAATTCTGCTTTCTTTTGCTTGATTTAAATATCAAGTCAGGGCTTTTGGAGAGACAGAATCAGCAGTGCTGTACTTACTGCCAACCCCGGCTCTCCTGGATATCCCACTGGGCCTGCTGGTCCTCTCACTCCCCTTGAGCCCTAAACATGAGAAAAATCAGTAAATTCGTTACCAGAAACCATAATCATCGTTCATGGGAGAGCTGCATGTAATCCCAGTTGGATAAAGACCTCCGGAGAAATCACAGTCCCGGCCACACCTGCCCTGCTGCGTCATCTTGAACAGTAGCTCTGACAGAGCTGGGAAAAGGGCACAGAGCTGGCAGGCAGTAGCGCTTGGTGGGTGTGACTAACTCCTACGTTTGGGATTAAGACCCAGAGATCAATCTACTTATTCACAAATAAATCTTGTAGTAGCAAAAGTAGAGAACAAAGAAACCTTGTTACTCCTAAATTCCAAATATGTTACAAATTTAATATACATCAAAATGCTTTTACAATATTAATATTACTTAGCATTAAATAAATTATTAATGTAGTTATACTCTAATATATCCTTTCAACGTGCCCTGTAAGATCAGTGTGAATAGAAATGTCCCCAATTCAAGATCAAGGTAATTAAGCCATAAACAATTTTCTGCAACATGTTAAGTTACAGCAGAATAACACACAAATTCACAAGGAAAGGTTATAGTTGGGCAGTTCTAGAAGTATGGAGAAAGGGGCTCTGTTCTCCCACTCACCCTGCCCATGTCAAATGATTTGAGAGTGTGCAATGGCATTACTCTCTCCTAGAGAATGAATTGGTATTTATTTTAACAGTGACACCAAGGTATCTCATTGATAACGTAGAACTGAGCTGCCGGAGTAGTAAGAAAAAAACAACCTGAGAAAGTAATCCTGTCAACAGTCGGAAGTTACCAAACACAATTATAGGTGAAGCATTAGGAGGCCAAATTGCTTTCAGTTTTAATCTTATGAATATTGATGAATTGGAAAGACAAATATAATCATTGAATCACAAATTCCAGGAACATGAAGATAGGGCAAAATACTAAACATAATACACAATTACTGATTCAGGCAAGCAAAAGCATTTTCACTGGACATATATTATTTAGGTAGTTTCTAAGCGGAATTATCTTCCTAAATATTAAGCGACTATAGCTACCCAAGCAATACCAAACGATCATTGCAAGATAGAAGTGAAAGGTAAGCTGGAGCTTACTGAAATTCAAGGGCGGCTCTGTGGGCCTGGGACCTGTGCAGTCACACGGGGCCTCATGCTTGATTTAATGCTCTGCTGTCACCATCTTAAAATTTGTAATAATTTTTGAACAAGAGACCTACATTTTCATTTTGCACCAGGTGGGCCCTGCAAATTAGGTAGCTGGTCCTGCTGAGATGCAAACTAGTGGAGACCATAGGCTATCTGAGGAGCAAACAGAAGCGCACGGCCTGCCCAGGAGACTTACTGGTAAGCCGGGAGGTCCTGGGTCCCCTCTGTCACCCTGCAATAGTATCAGGACACTGCATTAGAAGAGCAACACCATTTCCCTAAAACACACAACATAAAAGTAAACACACACACACGGGACTTATTTGGACTGTCTGTGCAGTTTGTTCAGTTTTTCAGTGTTGAAAAGACAGCTGTGGAAGGGCTCTATGGAGGTGTTTTTCTGTCTCCATTCTTAAGCCCTGAATTCTACTTCTACCCAGCTGAGACCAGGGAAAGATTGCTGGAGTCGTGAGGACATGGAATCAAGATGAGATTTCATCTTTCAGTTTAAAATGTTCTAAAGAAAAAAACAAAGCTCTAAATTCTCGATCCAGTGGTCCCATTTCATCAGTTTAACTGTCTGTCATCTGATTGGCAGACCTTTCCTCCCTTAATTAACACCTTGTTATCACCCAGGAGCAAAGGTAAAGGGAATTCGTGTGGAAACCCTCTCTGCCACTGTGCACATCTACCGCTTTGTGACTCGACTCTGCCCTGAGACTCTACTCACTTTAAAGGATCAAGGGGTGTATATTCTCTTGAATACAGACTCTTCCTTTTTTTTCCAAAATGTAAAATATACCGCAAAATATACGTATGATAAAATTTAACATTTTAACCTTTTTTAAGTGTACGGTTCTGTGGCATTAAATACATTCACCATGTTGTGCTTCCATTGTCCAAGCGTCTTCATTTCTTCATGGAAACCCTGTATCCATTAAATACTAGCCCTCCATCCCCGCTTCCCCAGCCCCTGGCAAGCACCATCTACTTTCTGTCTCTGTGAATTTGACTACTCTAGGGACCTCATCTAAGTGGAATCACATATTTCCTGTCCTTTTGTGACCAGCCTATTACACTCAGCACAATGACCTCAGGGTTCAACCATGTTGTAGCATGCTTTAGAATTCCCTGACTTTTTAAGGCTGAAAAATATTGTGTTGTATGTGTGTATGTACTACACTCTGTTCACCCATTCATCAGTAGGTAGACACTTGGGTTGCTTCCACCTTTTGGCTATTGTGAATAGGCTGCTATGAATATGGGTGTACAAGTATCTGTTTGAGTCCCTGCCTTCATTTTTGGGAGAACATATCTAGAAGCAGAATAGCTGGGTCACAGGGTAATTCCACATTTAAGTTTTTGAGCAATCACCCTACCATTTTCCACAGCAGCGACACCATTTTACATTCCCACCAGCAATGCACAAGGGTCCCGACTCTTCCACGTAATTACTAACACATTATTTTGTTTTTCTTTTTTTAGTAACAATCATCCAAATGGGTATGAAGTGGATATAGGCTCTTAAAACCATTGTTTCTCCAAGGTTATCGATCTGCATGCCACTTCCATTAGGGATCCTCTGTTTCTCTTTAAGATGAGGAATTCTCTATATTCATCTCCCTTTCTGTCTCGCTTGTTCTTTCTTGCACAATTACCAAAAAATACTCACCATAACTAATATTGTACTGTATATTATACTTTACAATACATGGCAGTATAAACTATTATAACAGACCATCAGCACTGAGAGGAAGGCAGGGTAGATATTAATTTCCTTTCACAACTAAGGAAAATGAGGGGCTTCCCTGGTGGCGCAGTGGTTGAGAGTCTGCCTGCTGATGCAGGGGACACGGGTTCGTGCCCCGGTCCGGGAAGATTCCACATGCCGCGGAGCGGCTGGGCCTGTGAGCCATGGCTGCTGAGCCTGCGGTCCGGAGTCTGTGCTCCGCAACGGGAGAGGCCACAACAGTGAGAGGCCCGCGTACCGCAAAAAAAAAAAAATAATAAGGAAAATGAGGCTCAGAGAGGTTGAGGGGGTCGCTTAAAGTCACAGTAGTAGGTAAGGGTCAGTTCACTCCTTCCAACACATCATACTGGTTCCTAGAATGACCCTGTTTTTGATGCTAAGTTTATGAATGTATCATTTAAGCTATAAATAGAAGCATAGTGCTTGCTGTCTAACAAGTAAGAATAGGCACAGAGGCTATAAACACATATTGTAAGCCCACTTAAGGGATCACCACTCAGGTGTGGCCACTCCAGGTGGCACAGAACTTGGAATCTGATAGAGGCAATCTAGGACTACTTTTATCTAATTATTGTAGAATATCTTTCCTTAAGAGAAATGACCATGTCTTGAAAATGTACTGTATCTCTCCTCTTGAGTCTATCGTATCTAGTGATCTCCTTCTGCTCATCCACGGCTACTCAGATTAGAGAGATGCGGTGGTCATTCAAGAGTTTATTTCTGAATATTTGTACATCATTCTCTGTGAAAAACACAAAAGCATTTCATTTGCTAAGGATAGTGCTATCAGGTTTCTACAATTTTCAAGTTCAATAGTGGTGACTTCTATCATCATGAATGGTAAGTATTAATATCACAATATTTTAACTACAAAGTAATTAATGCGTCTCAGCTGGAAGTGATTTTTCCCCCAGGAGACATTTGGTAATGTCTGGAGATATTGTTTGGGTGTGTGTGGGGGGTCAGGGGGGTGTTACTGGCATCTAATGGGTAGACGCCAGGGAAAATGTTCAACCTCCTACCATACACAGGTCAGCCTCCACGACAAATGATTAACTGGCCCAAAATGTCAACAGTGCTGAGGCTGAGAAACCCTGAAATAAATGTATTTATTGCAACTCTGCGAGAATCGTAGGGAGGGAGGGGAATTCTGCAGCCAGAGAAGCTAAAGCCAAGTGCCTTCACACAAGAAGTATGGGTCATCCCAGAGGGTCAGGGTAATGATCAAAACCAGTATCCTCAAAGACATTTTAAAGGAAATCTCAGTCCATGTGTTTTCTTCATGGGTTTACTTATACAGAAAAAAGTTGTTTTAAACCCACCCTGATTGTAAAGCTTACCTGAATACCTTTAATGACACCTAAAATGAACACTGAATTTCCTTTTTCTCCTTTTTTCCCAAGAAGGCCCTGAAAATAAAATATTCACTTTAAGAGAGGAAAAGAGCATATTACTATTTCTGTATTTTCTTTTGCAAATGAAATATTACTCACCAATAAAATTACCATTATAATCATATTTCACTAGTGGAGATTTCTTTATTCTCATTTTTATTATCATCCTAAGGTTGTCATATATACTTATTTAATATTTGGTTAAGATCTACTGAGGAATCTCCTAAGACAGAATATCTACTAATATATTACAAATATTTATATATATTATAAATATGTAATATATTTATATAGGTTATATATAATACTAATACATTTATAGCTGTTTACTAATTATTCAGCAGGAAAATTGCACTCTTCTTCACAATATAATGCACATAATACTTGTATTATACTTATAAGTAAACAATTTTGCACTTGTCAGTTAATAATTTATGCCCTAGAGATAGCAAAAAAATTATTTTATCCATTTAAGTATTTGTATTCAAAACAGAGCCTAGTTATCCGCTGTAAGATTAACTTTTAAAAAAACATAACATGTTCCTTTTAGAAGGTTTTTATACATAGCTGCAAGTTTGTTTACTTAGAGTAATTTTTTAAAGTGAATGAAATACCTCAGTGTACTTTCTCCCCAAAGTTTTCCTACTTACTATCTTAATATCCTACTTAATATCTTAATACATCTTAACTTGGTTACCATATGAAAATTCTACCATCTTCATGTATCAAGCTCCTGTGAAGGACATGCAGATTTCAAAGCTAATCCCTCTTAGGAGAGTGCTTGACTTTGCTTCCAGTGGGAGATACTAAACAGTTTTGTGGTAAATTACACCAACGCTTTCCTTGAGAAATCAGATTTGCCTACACAAGCAACTGTTGCTTCGCACAGTCCCAATACGTGTGAGTTTCAGTTCCACATATAAGTTACATCACACCAGTCCTCCCACCAACTGGTTCAAATTTCAGTTACCACTGTGTATTAATTAACTGAGTCACTGCATAAGGCACAAACATCACTGCTGGCTCATTGGTCCACAGATCACTACACAAGTAACATGTGAATCATGATCACCAACTGATCATATCACTCCTTTCAAAGTCTATCAGCGACTGGTCACTAACATCTGTTAGTTCACACACAGACAACGAAGTACGTAGCTGTGTTGCCCCTTGTCTCCCAGTGATAAACCCAAAGGACATTTCATAAAAACAAATCATTGAAAGAGAGGATTGCCAAGAAAGATGAAAATGACGTGAGGAAATGAAAACTGCTAATAGCGGAGGTGAAATTCAAATAGAATGTAAGTGGAATTAGGGAAGGAACAGATATTGTGGGAATGTTGTCACTGTTCTCATTCAAGCCAGAGGGACTTAGGGAGGCAAACTTATCAACATAAAAGAGGGAAGTGGTTGTGACCAAAAGGATGAAGATGTGCCAGAGGGAGTGACACAGGCAGAAGAACTTCACGTTAAAGAAACTCTCAGCGATATCTCACCACACTGGAAGCTGGTCCAAGCTTAGAGAAGAGTATGACGTTCACCAAAGCATAGAAAACACATTCACTTCATGTCCTAAGTTATGGGACCAGATGACAGCAAGCACAGTTCAAACTGCCTTGATAAGTTTTTACAAAGAAAGAAAACCCTTTAATTTTCAATGTTCCTAATGCTTTAGATTACAACGTACTAAATAAATATTAGCTTAAAATTTTTTCTCTATATATTTATGATGTTTTAACAAAATATCTTAAAGGTCATGGAACGATAGTAATTTTCCCATTGGAGGTAAAGGCTGCTTCGTGCGCCTTCAGATTGCATGCCATTCTTAACATCTCACACTGTGTGCAAAGTGAGCTCTGCCCATATAAGAAACAGGTCAAGGGAAAGAAAATTGCTTTGCGAAGAGATCATTATGACAAGCTTCAGTACTGTGGTCAGTACTACATGCTGTGTTCAAGCTAAAATCGAGAACCCTCCTCTCCTGAATGTTCATGGATGCTCAGTAGAATGAGGCGTGAACCAATTTGAAGATCTTAAGAGATGTGCATTCACCAGACTGCACCCCTGAGCCTTCAAGGGGGCTGAGTCTGAAAATAAAGAGTGGTTGAGAAGCTTAACAATGGGAGTTGGTTGTTACTTGGTACCACAAGAAAAATGTGAATATGGAAAAATTCTTTTTTGAGTTTTGTGTTCAGATCGATCATTTCTACTACGATCTGGAACAAAAGGAAAACTCACAGAAGAAAGCAAGATGATTGTGGTGGTGATGAGAAAACCTTTTAGAAGGAATCTCAGGAAATGATATTTAATTAAAGAAATGGAAAGGCTGAAAAACAGTCACAGAAAAACAGCTTTGAAAGGGTAAATTATCTCTAGTCTTTATTTAAGTGAGAAAAAAAGGAAAAGAAAGAGAGAGAAAGGAGATACAAGTGGTAGAGGAAAGGGCAGTTCTTGCTGAAGTTATGTTTAAATAAAAGTCCAAATTTTTGAAGGAAAAATAAAAAACTAAGAGCTGTAAAGTTAAGTGTTGGATATTGTCAGCTGTTTCTGGACCTCCATTCCAAATCTCTTCCATTTATCTTTTTGCATTACAGGAGCTAGAAAGCTAAAAACTACATTTCCCAGACTGCTTTGCAGCTGGGTGTGAAGTAGGTTCCACCTGGGAGATGTACTTATGAGATTTGGGAGGCAGAACTGAGGAAGACATCCTCTTCGGGTACTGCTGATGCTGCCAAGCAGGAAGTTAGAAACTTGAGTGTTTGCTGGTGTCTCGACATTCAGAAGTGCGGCCAGTGGCTGAGGTGCAAGAGAAGCTTCTGACTTCTGAATCTCAGCTAAGTGTGAGCCCTTGAAATCAGTAGTGCCATAGTGAACCTGGAGTTTCAATCCTCCAACCATAATAATCAGTGCCAAATTCCTGGTATTAAATTCCTCTTGGGCTTCCCTGGTGGCGCAGTGGTTGGGAGTCCACCTGCCGATGCAGGGGACGCGGGTTCGTGCCCCGGTCTGGGAAGATCCCACATGCCGCAGAGCGGCTGGGTCCGTGAGCCACGGCCACTGAGCCTGCGCGTCCAGAGCCTGTGCTCCGCAACGGGAGAGGCCACAACAGTGCGAGGACCCCGTACCGCAAAAAAAAAAAATTCCTCTCGGCTTGAAATACCTAGAGGGGTTTATGTATCTGCAGTGAACCCTGAATGATAAACAACCTAAGCTTTGCTAAGTGGCCTCCCTTCCCCTATCATCCATTCTCTGTATGGCAGCCAGGAGCATCATGATAGAACATCAGTCAGGTCATATTTCTTCCTTCCTTAAAACCATCCAGTGCATTCCCATGGCATGGAAAAGAAAACCCAGCTTCCTTCCATAGTCTACAAGGCCCCGTGTCTTCTAAGTCCTGCCCAACTCTCTGTCCTCATCCTCCAGTCACCCGCATTTGTTCACCAGGCTCCCAGTACACTTGTAATAACTCTGTTTCTCGAACACATCCAGCCTGCTCCCGCTGGAGGGCCTTTTCACTTAAGATTCCCACTAGGCTGAACTGTGGCTGTCTTACTGGGGAGCCTTGTGGGCCAGGAGCTCCTCTTTCTCCTGGAAAGCCTGGGGCACCTCTTGAGCCGTTGTAGCCATCTATGCCAGATTTGCCTCTGGATCCAGGAGGCCCTGGGTGCCCCTACAAGAAACAAAATGATAGGTGAAGCATTTTTGCAAGAATACCATCACAAAAAGGTTCTGCGATATGGGTCCCCAAATTATGGCAATTGTGACTCACATGTCGATCAGTTTTGAAACCTCCTTCCCCACCCACAAGAATTATGTAGCATAGTAAAAATAAATAAATCTATTTTCATACACCCCAATTTAAATTAATTTAGTCTGGAGTATTTTCAGAGATCAGGGAGGAAATCTTCCTTGAAATCCTTAGAAAGACTCTAATGAATTATAAACCCTGCCAAATACCTTTCCCTTCTTTCCTCTGGTTTTCGTATCAGCAATGAGAGGTTTAAGCCCACTCCCACCATTAGGACTCGCCAGAAAATAAAAACTTTTGTAATGAGTATAAATTTATTTCCAGAACATTGTACTTGACCTGACAAGTATACGAGCTCATATCTTGGAATGCTTTTCTCCAATCTTTTTTGAAAACCTTGTTCTTCAAGAAAAATGTTTTGGTCTCAGAGTTACTACACAAAATTGAAATGCAAGCACCCTTCCATTTACTAAAATAAGAAAATAAAGAAGAGTTTGCCATATATATTATATATAATATATAACATATAAATATATTTTATATATACACAAACGTGATTTGAAGCACTTCGATGAGTGTCTCTCCCTTCTTTAAAAAAAATGGAGAAAATTTAAGGATACTTACAGGTATCCCATCCAAACCCGGGAATCCAGGAACACCGGTTGGACCCTAAAATCCCAGAAAATAAAATGAAGATAGAAAAGCTACTAAATTATTAGAGTAACAGGTTAATTTACTTAAAAACATTAATAATTAATAACTTGTTAAAAAAAACCTTATCAGTCATTGTCATCTATTTTTACATTAAGGAGCTCAAATGCCAACATTTTGGAAGTCAACCATTTGTGCTTTTCTTTTTGTACTTAGGAAGCCAACATGGCAATATTAGTTCAAAGAATACATTCAATACCCTATAACTGGAAATTCAACTTCTCAGACTCTATTTATCCTAGAGAAACAAACTCTTAAATGTAAACACAGGTAATTTACAGGACTGTTTTTGCACACTTGCACTACACGAACTTGGACTAGGATCTCAAATTCTCATCAACAGGGAATAAACTATAGTTTTATCCATATTATGGCATATCATAGAGTAAAGGAGTAAATTCAATCTACATAAATTGATATGAAATGATCTCCAAGCCATATGGTTGAGTAAAAAAAAAGGCTCTGCATGATACATATAGTATCAGTTAGGTTGTTTTAAAAAGCCATAAAGAAAACCACTCCTTACTGGGTAAACTCATGTATTTAAGTGCCTAGAAAAGGTAAAGAAAGGCATGCTCCTCTGGAAAGGGGTTAGGAATGAGGACTGAATATCGAAGAGGAGTTTAGATTTGATTTTTCTAAGGTTCAGATAGGTACTACTCGTGATTATTAAAAAATCTGGCATAGCAATTCTGGTGAGGGTTAAATATGAATCTTTCACTTAAGAAGAGGCTTACCTTATCACCCTTGTCACCTGCTGCTCCAGGAAGGCCACTGTCACCTCTCATCCCTTTCTCTCCTGGAATTCCAATGGGTCCTGGTGGCCCCAGGGGTCCAATAGGACCCTGTGGCCCTGGTGGTCCTGGTGGACCCTGAGAAGCAAGATTAAAAAGGCAGGGGGATGGATGACTCTTAAGTAATGTTTTCTAACAAAAAAATATGGTGACTTGGGTTTACAGAAGACCGGAAAATTAAAGATGGAGCAAACTCTAATAATAGAAGCACGAACGATCAATTAATTATAAAAAAAGAAAATGTTGCCTTTTTCAATCTGAATCAAAGCTGTACGATAAATGTGAACTGCTGCATGTACACACACATCTATAAACTGACTGTAGCTCTCTTACTATTTTCATTCTGTCGTTGAAATTTAGAAATCTTGAGCTGTTTAGTGCAGTAAGGAATCTTTAAAACTCAAGGTCTCATTAACATTATGTAAGTGACACAAGGTAAGAGTGAGGAAAAAGTGCCAGATATTTTATTTACTTCAAATGGCTCATAATTTGTCTGCCCTTTTAGGGGGAAACATTTCTTTTTTAGCTGCTTTTATCTAACTTCTTATCCAGAATTTGGAATCAGGCTCTCCATGTCACAATATTTTTACGCAATCCAACTTTCTTTCCATGAATGAAAACATCACCTTTTATTTTAGGCAAAGAAGTTTCAGGAACTCAGTTCTCCCCCTAAACCCACAGTGGGAACATCTCTGGGACAAAGATGAGGAACTCCTTGCTCCCTTTAAGCCTGTTCTCCGTTGCATTTAGATGCACTGTTGCAGTGAATGAATGTTCAGTTACGACAGGGAGTCCCACAGCTCTTTCTAGGAGTAGGAAGGTTGGTATGTCTCAGCATCAGTTTCTCTAACTTCCGGATGATCGTATCTAGCTGCCTCTTTGACATCTCCTTGAATATGATGGTACCCTCAGCTTAAAAAAATCCAAAATGGAACTTTTGATTTTACCCCCAGATTTGATTCTCTATCTACCCAGAATCCAGCCCCAGAATCCTGGGATTCATCCTGGATATTCCTCTTTCTACCACACCTACATTTAACCCATGATCGATTCCTAGCATTTCACTCCCGAAATGGGTCTGAAACTCACCCACCCCACTGTCTGCCTTGCTGTGACCCTACAGGTCAGCATCAGTGAGACCGGTGTTCCAGGCTCCCAGATGGCTTTCCAGCTTCCTCTAACCCTCCTCCCTGCCTCTGTTCAAGTGACATTAAAACAGAAATCAGAGAGACTTCCCTGGTGGCACAGTGGTTAAGAGTCTGCCTGCCAATGCAGGGGACACGGGTTCGTGCCCCGGTCTGGGAAGATCCCACATGCCGTGGAGCAACTGGGCCCGGGAGCCACAACTACTGAGCCCGCACGCCTGGAGCTGGTGCTCTACAACAAACAGGAGAGGCCACCGCAACAAGAAGCCCACGCACAGCAACGCAACTAGAGAAAGCCCGCGTGCAGCAGCTAAGACCCAATGCAGCTATAAATAAATAAATTTATTAAAAAAACAAAAATCAGATCATGGCATGGCCCTGCTTTTTAAACTTTCCTTGTCTTCCCACTACATGTAGAATAAACCTCGTGCTCCTCCCTTCCAGGCCTTACAGGGTGTGGCCCCAGATTCCCTTGCACCCCATGCTGTGCCCGCTCCACACTCACTAAGTCCCAGCCACGCTGCTCTTTTCTGTCTTCGGGCCTCGGTGCGAGCATTCTCTCTAGATCTGCACATAATGTGGATCTCTCCTAAACTGCCACCAGTGAAGTAGGATCTCCAATTCAACCTCACCCCCATTAGTCTCCCTCAGGGTATCCTGTCCACTTCCTTCTTAGCATCTTAGCATTTCACATTTTTTAAATTATGTATTTGCCCATTAGTTTGTTGTCTGCTCTCTGACTGGACACTAGCACCATAAGGGCAGGGATATCTGCTCACCAGTTAAGTCTTCCATCTACCATCTACTGTGGCCTTTGGCTCAGGAATGAATGAATGAATGAGGGATAGACGTGGCAGTGACTATGCTCACAGGCTTAGTGGTCCAGCCTGACCACCCATCCGCTCCAGACACACTCTACGAGGGCCCTGTATGATCAGGAAAGTGATTTTTGAATGCTGCAAAAAGCTATTCTATCAAATGTAATCTTTATGACATACAGATTGATTTTACACATTCAAACTTGTTTACTTTTTATGAAATAATCAACTCATGGGAACAATGAGGCTCTTCAAATGAATTTAAGAATCTAAAATCAGGGTTTCTAAATGATACTTCTAGCCTCAGCATTCAATCTCTATCTAAAATCAGGGTTTCTAAATGATACTTCTAGCCTCAGCATTCAATCTCTGTCTATCTAAAATCAGGGTTTCTAAATGATACTTCTAGCCTCAGCATTCAATCTCTGTCTATAATTTGATGTGAGCAGAAAGTATCTTAGATTCATATGTTTTTTTAAATAACTCGCTTTTGCATTCTTAAGATAATACTCTTAGATTAGGTAAAGAGAAGCTTTATAATGAGACGTTTATAACAAGGCTTTCGCCGATGCAGGGTGATCTGGTCACATGACACCATGCCCTGTGGTGGCTAATGCGTCCAGCTGTGTTGTCTAACACGTGTCAAAATCCATGCTTTATTTCACTACAGTTTGAAAACACTCTGCATTCATCTGAAGTCAGGCTGTCACCTGCAATTATTTTATGCTTTTTAAAAATTTTCCAAAGATTTAAGAAAAAATCATTTAATATCCCCTTTCCCGACCTAAACAACACGGATAACTGCATTCAAAGAGCAAGTAAGTCTTGATATGTGGAGAGAAAAGCTGAGTGGATTTCAGGAGATATCTGCTTAGAACTTTTAAACCTCTCGGCAATTTCAACCTTAGTGCTCAACTCTAACCGTGCACGGGACTCTGTATAAGAATGTAGGGCTATCCTTCGGGTGTATGGGGCCCAGGGAAAAATACGTTTTGGAGAGTCCCACCTACATAAAAATTTGAGTCACCTGAAATCAGTGTATCAGTGTCATTCTGGTGACCCAATCTCAGGAATTCCATGAACGAATAACAAAATCCCACAAGCGGGCAAGGGAGGCTGTCCTATTAGGTGGCCACCCTCTGGATACCAGGGCCCGGCCATGGGGCCCCAGCCCAGCCCAAGAGCATGAACCCCAGAGCTCCTCATGCGGTCAACTCCCACTGGATAAAGGGTCAGAGAGCATCCTGTTGAAACTACTTTTAAGCCCAAGATGGCGCCACTGCTGCCTGGGTGCCACTTCAGCAAATTTATGTAACTTCTGTGCCCCTGTAAATGCTCCTTATAAACAGAAATGGAATCCATCCAGGCAGCTAATTGTCAGACGCCAAGCCAACTTTGGGCTCTACGCGTACTTCCTTGTTCCTTATTCGTTTCTATTTTTCTCTTCCTTGTTCCTTATTCTTTATCCTATAAAGGCTTCTTGATTTCTCCCCATTTTGCAGTTCTCCAGATCCTCGGGAACAGAGGCTGCCCACCTCATGAGGTGTTAAATAAAATTTGTTTGTATCACCTAAACTGTCTTGAGTTTTAACAACCTTAAAGGGAAGAAACAGATGCTGGGACCCATCGGTCCTGGTCCCCAGTGCAGCCCTGCCTGAGGCGGGGCCTGGGGTCAGAAGCCCTGCTTGTCCTGGTCTAAGGACAATAATGCAAGAATATTCACCACATCATCTTTGGTAATATCAAGAAAAACTGGAAATCCCATAAAAATCCCAAATGAAACTGATTGAATAAATTATGGTATCTTCATACAATGAAATACCGCACAGGCTGTCTTAGTCTGGGTGCCCCAGAAGCAAATTAGGACACGGCATCAATGCAAATGGTTTAATTGAGAATAAAGGAGACATGGTAAGAAGGAGACGGGATGAAGGAGCAGGGATGTGACACAGAGAAGGAAAGGCAGCCCATAAGGCTGTGCTATCAAGCCAATTACCACCGTGGGTTACTGGAGCTTAACCCAGAGTGGAAACTCTGGGTGTCAAGGTAGAATACACACCTCAGAGTTATCCAGCCCGGGGTAAGGGAGTTAGGGTGTTTACCTCACTGGTGGAGGGCCACTGATGGTGGGTGGGAAGTATCTGCTCCTGGGGCTTTGAGAAACCCCACAGACAAAGAGATGAAGAGACTGGCAGCTGGAGACCCCCCCTTAACTCCCCCCCAAAACAGGAGCACTGAAGTAATAGGCCTCAGGGAAATGCACAGGGCCCAGACACTGAAGGATGAAGTAGGTCTCTCTGGATGGATATAGAACAGCCTTGTGATGCTCATGAAGAAGAAACAGAGCGACTGAGCTCCAGGCTCTGCAGTCAGCGCCTGTGTGTGAAGCCCAGGCCCACACTTACTAGCTGTGGGACCTTGGGCACGTTTCTTAACCCCTCTGTTCCTCAGCTTCTTTATCTGTCAGTGGCTTGTGGACATAAAAAGAACAATGCATGTAAGGTGTGTAGCATAGTACCTGCACAGTAATGCTAGCTATTGTTATCATACATGATTGTTATTATAAATAGTTCATTGTTAAGTGGGAAAAAAAAAGCCGTGCATCATATGATCCCACCGGTAGAGAAACAAATGGACATACATTTTCTTAACATATATGTTTGTAAATGAACATTTCTAGACGGATATACAAGAAATGGCACATTACCACATCTCAAGAGTGAGAAATGCAAAGCAGGGCAATGATAAAGTCTGTTTTGTGAGCATCTTACCAACAGCAAATGTGACTTTTATAATAAAGATTAATTACAATTTCTTTCATCATTAAGTCATTAACCTTACTAACATTACTGACAAACTTTACCATCTGCCTAAATTTTATAAATCAAAATCATACTTTGTTTGTACTTTCCCTTCTCTTCATGCTTTTTCATCATCATTATAATAGCTACTATTTCTTGAGTATCCATAAAAATACTAAAAGCTCAGCATTTTCAAGGAAGCTTAAGTGTATAAATATGTGTTACAGAAAAGACAACAATAATATATAAAGTCAATTCTATGGGCACAAACCATCTGGGGGCACTTTGAGGGCATATTACTTTTCTCTAGGTAT